TTTTTTTTTTTTTTTGATACTTAAAGAAAGGGATGGGGGCAAGGAAGAGTGCCCAACAACCACCCCGATAGGCCATCACCGGTGGGATCATAAAGCCCTTGACCGTGCCTGGAACATCTCTCGGGATCAGACCTACCTAGGCTAGCATAGCGGCCAACCACCAAGCCCCAATGAGAATTCCAAGACTCGAACTCTCAACCTCAAGGTGAGGAGTATGGCCGGTATCCCACTAGACCACCCTACTTGGTGGTTTGTATATTGTTCTTTACATACTCTAACTAATATATAAAAATCATAACAACTATCTTCTGCCTCGATACTCCCACTATGCAGTCCACCAACATATCCTCATAACTAAAAATGTTAAATGATAGGGGTGAGCAACCACACACTCAGTAGGATAATCTTTTTGTCAAGCATATACAAGGTTTTAAATATCAACAGTTCACAATCATAATGATAAGTAATGAAATAATTTACCAATAAGTCTAAGTACACGATAAGTAATAAGCATTTTTGAAAGTATACTACGTACTATCATTTGAAATACTTAAGTGAAACATCAAGGAATTTACCACATTGAAATCAAATCTCAAAATAACACTATAAAACATCTCTTCTTAAAACATAATGCAACACCATTGATTTTATAAAGTACGAAATGAGAAATCTTTATACAAGTATATGTATTACAAATCTAGTAAAATAATTATTTCTTATTTTGAACACAATTTCTTAAATTTGATCTTTCCAGAGTAGTTTTCAAAAATATTAACTTCACGTACTTTTGCCTCAACCTCACCTTACCTCACCCCACTCAGGAGGTTTGTTAGAATATTGGTCTATTAGTTTCTTGGTATCCAAAATTCATGTATGCTACCCATACAGACAAATATCATCAATCTAACACCAGTTTACGAATGAATTATCCCCGAAAAATCTTTTGGGTCTTACACCCTAAGGTCTCATCGCTCTTCTTACTTTTCAGAGGGCGATGTGTAGGACATAACTTGTGATGTCATACAGGCTATTACTGAAAATCACTATCATCACCAATCCTGCCCAGGACTAGAAGCAACCTTGGTAACCCCTTTAAGGGCATCAACCGTCTACTAATCCTCTGTCTGTCGGTACTGAGCATATAAGTTTCAAACCATAATTTTATGATCACCTTTCATTCCTAGCACCAACCACAACTTTGACACTTTTAAAAAAATATATATAGTATTACAAAATCTCACATTTCTATTTCCAACATAACACATTTTCAAAATAAACTCACATACACACTAAAAATACAATTTGTACCATTTTACTGCAAATTTCACAAATTAAATGATTGAAAAGTTATATTGATAAACACCACACTTTTCATACTTTAAAATAACACAACAATACCCCAAATTTTGGCAAAATATATATTCAATCATATTTTAAAAATCAGTACCTCTTTTCACAATTTATCATTTCAATACTTATAGTCATTTTAGTATTTTATTAAACACATGATAGATATAAAATCTCCAAATACACATTTATAAAGGAAGATACTCATCCTTAAGAGATAAATCAAATACATTATATATAAAATCACATATATTCTAAATAATCATAAATCTTATGTTCAATCAAACACCCATAACAAAAATAAAGTTAGGGTTTCAAACCCACAATACCCAAATTCATTTAATGTATATAGGTTTACAAATTCATAGTAAACTCATCATTTAATTAAGACTCATAGCTTGTATTTAGCTCATACTAAACAAATAGATATAAAACATACATGAGATGCACCAATGTATATGCAAGAGAAAGAAAAAACCTACCTCAAAACCTAAGAACTCAAGCTCCACCTTTAAATCTACAAGTGAATTCAAAAATCTGAAATAATATTCTTAAGTTTTTAAGCAAAAGCCCAAGCGCTAATGACCTTCTTCTCTCTTCCTTTCTCTTTCTAATTATAAGGTTTATGGAGTAGTATTGTGTGAGAGGAGTGAGAAAAATGGAGGTGAAAATGGGGTTATAAGGGCATAAATTCGTGCCGGATACTATTTGTAGGACAACAAAAATGTATTTTTTTCACAATTACGATTTTGCCCCAAAACTTCTCCAATTTG